GTATAAGAGACAGAAACAATAGAGGGCAGCAAACATTGTTATTAACTTTAGATTTCAGATTTTTTTCTTTGAATTGAAAATGTTTCTAATAAAACTAAGCTATAAATAACAAATAATTTCTCTTTGATAAAAGTTTGAATTAATAAATTAATAAGCATACAGTTCCTGGTAGGTAATGCACACCATCTTTCGTCATATGTAATGCATGCATGTTGAAGAATGCAGTGCACTCTTTGAAAACGAGTAGGGGATTGGCTCCCTGTGTGTTTCCCAATCACCAACAGAATTTCCACTGGAAATTAGCCTTTTAGACATTTGCATGTGATCCTAGGTATTCACATTGAATAAATTCAATCCACGGACCAGATCAAAATATTTTATAATATTTTAATTATAAGTTCTTTTCTTTGTATTTAGGTTTATATTTTTCTTTTAATTACTGTTCATTTTGATTTTTATTTCTGATTTGCATTTCTATTATTTTTTTTTTCATGTTATCATCATCATCTTTATTGTGCATGAGCCTTATATGAGTATATTCGCACAGCATTGATGGTTAATTATGTAACACTTAAGAAAATTAACGGATGTGCATATCAGATACGCAGTCCTTGAATGTGTTGATAGATGTTAATAACATGTTGAGGCAGGCTATTCAACAGACGGATGGTGCCTGGGAAGAATGAGCACTTCCTTAATGTTGTAAAGGTTTTTGTTACAATGGTATCCACTTGTAAAACCAGTGCTACTGTACGTCACTGAAAGTGCTCACTTTAAAGAGAAAATAAAATAAATAATTAAATAAATAAAAACACTTTTAAAAGAAATTAAACAGACTATTATGTAATTAATACATTGTGGCAGTACTGTATGTTAAGACCAGGTAAAATTTATTTGCTATTGTCACTTTATATGTTTTTTAAAACATTTTAAACAAATAAAAACTAAAAATATTATATATATTACTAAATAGTTAGTAGATTTTTAAATACAAATTAATTCATCCTATGGGTTACCATATATCATAACTAAATTCAAACTATTTCAAAATACAAGCTAACTTAAAATATATGATATAAAATAAAAATATATAAAATGTATATAAAATATATAAAATAAATATATTGATATCAATACGGTAGTATCGATATCAATCTCTACAATTCTGTTAACCTCAGCCGCACTAAGCCCCAGCTAGTACAGCAATTCAAATACAGCAACACACACTTAATGGATAAAATCTAAAGTTGGAACTTTTACAGACCTCTTATGGACTGATTCATAGCATGACAACAGTGAACTTCACCTGAAGTCCACAACTATTTCCTTTGTGCTAGAAAATGTTACACTGATGTTGTACATGGGACCTGGTCTCAAAAAGAAAGTACACATACTGGTACAGACGAAATGACGTGAAATTGATCTGACCTAGATAAGGAATTACATGCTTTTGGTGACTAAAAAAAACCTTTTGAAGTTGCTTTCTTATAAATTGCATGTCATGGTCACATAACCAGTACAGCCTAGGTCAGTAGACATAGAAAGTATGAGGTTACGCACTGATTCACACCCTATCGGGGAAGAGGAGCTTCGGATGTTTCATTCAACAGGCATTAAAATATAGTCCCAGTTAAGCTAATAAATTTTAATTAAATTTGTACATAAGTACATTATTAAAATCTTAATAATTAGAATGGGAAAATACTTAACCAGTTTATTCTTTACAGGCTAAATGGAGTCAATTAATTTAATATTGTATTTGTCATAAAATATAGAAACATCCTAAAAAATTTAATTAAAACATTTAGTTACACTGTACTGTACATTATTTAATCATGTAAAGAGATATTTAGGATTATAGGGTTACTTACAAAGAAATCTCATAATTCTTTGTAGTTTGCAAAGTCATCTTCACCAGAGCATGTATCCCGCAGTTACAGTTAGTAGCTTTGACTGTTGACCTATTGACCGACTTTTTAGAACGGCGAATCAACTACTTAATAATACAGTGAACGTTTTTATGATTTAATGCTTCCTCTCTAAATATTTAAAATTAATGGTAGAAAAATTAAATCATAGTAGTTCGAGCCAACTACCATGACTTGTCAATTTTGGGGTTTGTCTATTGTAAAACTTTGGTTCAGAATAGAGCACTGTACACATCATGAATATTATTCTAATTAATCAAATTTAAAACTACAGCTATCTTTTTGTACAAACTTCTCCATTATTAATTATACACGTCATTATACTTTCTACTGTGGTACGATTTAGATCATTATCCACGATGAGGATATCCCCAATTACAGGTGAGAAGGCATGATCATCATCAACATCACCTGTAATTTAAATTAACAACGTGTACACCTGTTCATGAAATTGATTTTATTAATTGATGAAGGCACACAGAAAGTGTACAAAAAACAGTACACATTAGACTCTTCCACTAATACAAACAGGGACTTTCTCGCTGTACGTAAAATTGAGGACAATATATTTTCATGTATGTACATGTGGGGCTAATTAAGACAAATGAAAAATATAAAGAAAACGTTTAATCATCTTTTGTAAGGAAGTACGCTTCTACAAATTGAACTAGCATTAAAGATATTTTCATGAATTGCCAGCCTAAATATTAAACACATTATGTACTCTGTATACTTAACCACATTGTGAGGTCCAAAGTAAATCAGTTGTGAACATAAACAGGAAAAACCCCAGGCGATCAGTGTTGAGGGTAAAGAAAGATACGTGAATTGGCAATGGTACGTAGCTGTGTTAAAAATATGACCTTAATTATGTATTATTACCTGTCTACTACTGATTGAATACTGTACTGTACTCAACTTATAGAACAGTATATCACAGTCCAGCTAAGGACATGAGCTTTCGATTCATTACTTAATAAGTATGGACATTAAAGAGCATCTTAAATCTGGAAAAACGAAAAATTTTGATATGTTGTTGTAAAAAAAATAATGAGGAATGTCTGATTTTTGTGTGTACTTATAAACCTGGTAGAAAAATGCCCCTTTAGAAAATTCATTTGTACACAATGTATCAATGTTTTTCTTCTGGAACCTACTGTAGCTTTAAATTATTCTACTCAACTTCCATGCATGTCACATGTCTCTTCAAAATACAAACTGATACTGAATGAAACTTGTATTTGAATAATTTTTTAGAATAGATTTTAGAATTCATACATGGTATTTCAGCACAAGTTTGAATTTTTACCGCAACTCATGCTGCATTCCATTGATATGAACTTTAAAGAAATCCAATTAAACGTAGAAATAGGAAACCTAGAAATATAGTAAAAACGCTGAATAGTAATATTCCAGCGTCGCGACATGCGGACGTTGGTACGAGTAGGTTAGTCTACAAACGTCGCCTAAAGTAATTGATTTTACCCGGCAGAACGAAAGAAGGAAACTCTGCTTTTCAGTCGTCTTAGGCCCTTGTTTTTTGATAATGACCTTTCAGAGGTCAAATTGCTGTCAAGAATATGAATTGCTGCTTCGCAGCAATGAATTATAGCTACTTGAATTGTATAAAGTCCACGTCAGCTAAATAGCTTTAGATTTATTGAATCATGATAAGCATGAACACTAAGAAACACCTTAATCTAGTATTCTACTCTACTTGCATAT